AACTGTCGTAGGGATTTAAAACAATTGCTTAATAGCCCAACGACAGTTGTAGCCATGTTGTAAGGATGACTTACGTAGGTCGCATGCGATCGTTGTAGGCAAAAGTTGTGCCGTCTAAATCGGCCTTAAGAGTTAATCCAAGATTAATTCAGTTTTGAACAACCCGCCCCTGTAGTAGTAGTAGTAGTAGTAGTACAGTCGCTCTGGTAGAGAGCTACTTGTTGTTGTGTTTCCACAAATTGCTTACGAACATACGCACCTGTATTGTAATAATTAATACTGTAGCAAGCTGAATTAGCAGTACACCTTTCAACGCAATCCTGGTAGTTTGTCACGCCTACAAACGATGCACTCACATGGTTTACAAGTGCGTGACCTGGTATGACGTAATCCTTGTCACAAGCGAGTAGCAGTCGTATTGKCAGAAATACGACCAAAAAGAAAAGGTTTTTGAACGTAACTGCAAAAAAAAAAACAAAAAAACAACAAAAAAAACAAAGCTAAAACAACAAACACACAAACAAACCATAAATGAAATAAATAAAAAATAAATAAAGGCAATAATAGATACTACGTATTAGTATTACCATACTAGTGGACTATTGCAAATCCTTCGTTCTGATTGGCTACGCTACTCGGTGTCTATTTTTAATAGTCCTCGACTWGCGAAAAGCGACAACTTTTTGCGTATTTTTAGCAATTTACTTACTTATATATTTGGCATTCATTTTTTGTCCAACTAGTATGATAATACTAAAACAATTAGATCTCTCGTCCTCGTGATCTGAACGCTAGTCTACTCGCCCTCTAGATCTAATTGTAAATGTTAGGTCCTTTATCCGGTAGGATGAGGTTTTATATAAAGATTCATCCTACCTGATAAAGRACCATTTTTTTAGTAATCAACCATTGTTTTTCATTGTTTTCATTAATCARCCCCACATTTCCCTGAGACCGCAATCAAAACCCTCCCCGGGCTTTTAAGTTTGCTGGTTTTATCAGGGATAAAAGTATGTCCACGTGATGAAATGTAGTAACGGGGTTGGTCAATTA